TGGGCACGGCAGGAGCGGCTCAGGGATGGCGGTGGGCTCGGAGGGGCAGTGAGCCGGGGGAGCTCGGTGATGCCTGCCGGGGCTCAGCAGGAGCTGGGCCGGTGGGGGGGTGACGCAAGGGGCAGTGGGAAGCGCCGGAGGGGGGACCCGCGGCACAGGGACGGGGTGTCTCACTGCTTTTGTGCCCTCAGGTGCCCAGGGCTCAGTCTGTACGTCTCCCCAGTCATTCCTGTCTACAATGCCGTCGTCTTCCTCTTCGTGCTGGCCAACTTCAGTATGGCCACCTTCATGGACCCAGGCATATTCCCACGAGGTGAGTCTGTCTCCGCTTGGGAAGTGTCTCGCGTAGAGCTGCCTCCTTCCGCCTTTCCTCCAAGGTGAAGAGGATTACCCGATCCCAAAAGGCTTGAGGAGAGCCCTCCTTGCCCTGCCTGGGGGGAGCCGGGTGGTGGCACATGCTGCAGGGACAGTAGCTCTGGGTTTGACAAACGAGCTGAGGCCGAGCGGGTGGTGGTGGAGTAGCAGGGGCCCAGCCCCTGCCCCTTCAGCTTTACCTGCTCGGGGGCTGTGGGGGATTACAGCGCTGGCACCATATGTCACCCTGCCCGCCGAGCCCTGCGCTCGGCCCCTCGCTGCTCCCACTGCCTAAATCCATCTGCGCTTATCGCTGCGGGGGGATGAGAGGGACAGATGCTGTCCTAGATCTGCAGGATTAAACTCCCAGCAGCAAAGCAGATTAGGGTATTACACTGGCGCCTCGGAGGGGGAAGCCCGCTGTCCAAAGCCAGGGCAGGGGGGAATGGTGGTGATTCCCTTGCCATGCTCCCACGGGCCCCCTCGGCCAGGCCCACGGAGGAGCTGGGTGCTGGCCAGGGCAGGCTGGCACAGCGATGGGGTCCCCATCTGCCAGCGGACTTGTCTCCGGGCTGGGCTCCGGGAGGGAGGGAGGGGGAGCCGCTCTGGAGGCCCGGGAGCTGCTGCTGGTTTTGCATCCCCTCACAGGGACCCTCTGCCCCTGAGCTTACTGGTGTGATGCGTGGAGGGTGACGCTCTGGTGCCTTGGGGCCAGATCCCTCCCGGGTGTCCCCAGTGCCATCAGCCTGGCTCGCCCCGTTCCCACCACCGCCCACAGTCGCTCCCTGTGGCAGCGGGGCCCTGTGCTGCAGTGCTGTGGGGCTGTGGGTGCCAGGGGCAAGTGGTGGGTTTGCTCTCTGATGGTTTACCAGAGTGCTTCCCAC